GGGAACATTTGTACTTCCTTAGACATTCAATAATTAAAGTAGCCATTCTTTTACAAAGGAATTTTATCACCCAGATACAGAGGGAGATTGTGGGACTGGAATTCATTTATATATCTGACACTATCCACTTGGGCTTGAATAAAGATATTAACTGGTTAACGCACTACAAAAGCAATTTCCCCTGCCTTTGATATTCACATTTACACATCAAAAGCTATGAATGGGGCACAGCCAGCCTGGTTCAATTAGCATCATTAACACTGTCCTGCAATTAATAGATAACTGCTTTTGCTGTTATATATACTCCGGTTTCTGTAATTTCCACTCCAACTCATCTGATGAAGTGGGTTTTACTCTCAAAAGCTCATGACATAATATATTTGTTAGTTTCGAAGGATATGTCTACACTGCCACCCTAGTTCAAACTAGGGTGGCTAATGTAGGCATTTGAAGTTGCAAATGAAGCCTGGGATTTAAATATCCCGGGCTTCATTTGCATCTTGCCGGGCGCCACCATTTTTAAATCCCCGTTAGTGCGGACTCCGTACTAGAGAGTCTAATTCGAACTACCTACTCCCTGCCGCGTGTAGCCGGGCGCCGCCATTTTTAAATCCCCGTTAGTGCGGACTCCGTACTAGAGAGTCTAATTCGAACTACCTACTCCCTGCCGCGTGTAGCCGCGGGCACAGAGTCCGCACTAACGGGGATTTAAAAATGGCGGCGCCCGGCAAGATGCAAATGAAGCCCAGGATATTTAAATCCCGGGCTTCGTTTGCAACTTCGAATGCCTACATTAGCCTCCCTAGTTCGAACTAGGGTGGCAGTGTAGACATACCCAAAGATACCACAGTACTGTAGGCTATTAATGATGGCTCCAGTGACATGAAGGAGTTAACTAGATAGCTGAGGGTTTCTCTTGCAAGTCAAAATGGCCTAAAACTGGCACAGTCCCCTCTCTACCATCCTTACTTTCAGCCCTAGGCACAGAGGGGATGGCTGTTTAAAAGTGACTGAGTCACAGTGTTCCTCATGATTCCAGTTCAGGAGGATTATAAGCTACCTTGGGCTGCTGATTTACAGTTCTCTGGCTGGAGAGAGGAGAGATGAGGTGATTGCATTAAGAAGGATAAGGAATTTATGAGGCAGAGGGAGAGAGGACCAACAGAAATCAGAGATACCAAGGCCCTTAAAGGAAAACAGAACTGACAAAGCAGAAAGGAATATGAGATGGGGCAAAAAGATGAAGGCATATGGATAAGGAAACCTTTCTTGATGGTCATGGTATGCTGGTCATATAAACGAGTAAGAGAGCAAAACCAGTAATCAAATCTGTATCCCTCTGTTGGCAGTGCACAGCATCAATCACTAGGTCGTCAGTCTAGCTCTTCAAATAATGCTTTCCAAACATTCAGACTGTCACTTTAATAAGAGGCAGAAGAATTAGGAACATTGCAGCAGCATTAGTCTTGTGGTTGGAGCAGACAATTGTGAGCAGTGGCTTGCAGGTTCTATGTGAAGCTCTGCCTCTAACTTCCTTTGTGTCATTAACCATTCTGGCTGTGTCTACATTGGCATGATTTTGCGCAAATACTTTTTAATGCAAGAGTTCTTGCATTAAAGTATTTGCGCAAGAGAGCATTTACACTGGCATGTGCCTTTGCACAAGAGCATCCATGCCAGTGTAGATGCTCCCTTGCACAAGAAAACTCCGAAGGCCATTTTAGCCATCGGGCTATCTTGTGCAAGAAATTAATGTTGCCTGTCTATACTGGCCTCTTGCGCAAGAACAGTTGCACAAGACGGCTTATTCCTGAGCAGGAGCATCATAGTTCTTGCGCAGGAAGCACTGATTTCACACATTAGAACATCAGTGTTCTTGTGCAAGAACTCCCTGCCAGTGTAGACAGGCAGCATGTTTTTGCGCAAAAGCGGCCGCTTCAGCGCAAGATCATGCCAATGTAGACACAGCCTCTGGGTCTCAGTTTACCATTATGCAAAACGAAAAATATACTAACTCTTACTTAATTCAGATGCACTTGATGAAGCTTAATTCATGTGTGTAAAACATTTTGAGATCTTCAGATAAAAGACGCTAGAAAAGTGGAAATTTCTGAAATAATAATAATAATAAATACATAGCTTTAAAATACGTAGAGAGCATCGCCAGAAAACATTGAATAAACATCATTAATAGAGTAAAACGAAATATAAGAATAATTCAAGATGGACTGAGGAGCAAATACTTCCACTTCTGTAAACTTTTGGTGTGCCACAGAATCCCAGAGAAGGGGGCTGCTACTGAGTCTGAGTGTTTATTGATCCTGACACTTTTTTTCCAGGTCATCCTGTTATATTTCATAAAGCCCTTATAAGGGTCACGAATCAAACCTAATTTTCTTTTTAACTAAGATATTCCACTGTATTCCAAGGATTCTATAGTACTCCCAGCTAGGTCTTTGAGATAAACAGTTTTTAAATCTCAGCAAATGAGAACATATTGCACAGCTTAAAGCTCAAATGACACTAATAAAACACTTTTTTGTTCTTTTAAGTTCTATTTTCTGCAACTACAGTTTCAGTCTTTGATAGTTTCACTTAAGCTTTGGGATGAATGTATTTTATGGCAAAAAAGTTCCATGCCAGGAAGTTCCAAGTATCAGAAGAGATCCAATTTAGCATTTTTAGGAGTACTGTAAAAATGTACCTTAGAGCAAAAGTGAACATATCAGGTTTTAAAAGTTATTTTTTTCCCTGTAAACACATGGAGGAGGCAGAAGAGACACAAGTCTAAATGACTTTTCCATGAGCCCTTGGTAAATTTATAATCACGTGCAAGGTTACACTGTAGAGCGATTTTGCTAAATAAATTTGCCTAGATCCTGATCTGCGGCCAAGCAGAGCAGTTCAGGGAAAACGCGGGATGCAAAGTCGTCTTTAACCTACCCATCTGCTCTACAACTCCTGGGGCCATCCAGGCTCTGGGCCAATCCCCCAGCACAGATTATAGCAACATTAAGCTCTGATTTGCAAAAGCTTCCAATGTCCCAAAAGATCAGTCTGGCCACAGGGGCTCTCCATTTTCCCCAGCCTAGTCCTTGCAATGGGGGTAGAGAATGGCATAGGAACATCTTTTAGGAGGAGCTTTACGCATCTTGGGAATCCCGTACTGACCAGTTACACAAACATCAGGACAGCTTTCAGCACAAAGGTTGGGGCAAATTGGAGCCATACCAACCTTTTCCCAAAACTGTCCATTGACACTTATAGTAGATTCTCCTTTCCATACACCATAGTTGCCTCTAACCAACACATGCATGAATCTTAGTAGGTTTTAAAGTATTTATGGCATGGGTGAGATTCTTTACTTATATATGTGAAGAAAATTGAACACATAAGAACTCTTATTCCAAAGAACTAGACTTCTCAGTAGGCAACAACTGTCTCCTCAATTAGGTTATACATATCAGCTTTGCAAGGTTCACAGTCTTTTAGATCTTGTAAGAAGCAGAAGGCTACAAATCATAATGCTTTACACTAACTGAGTGAAAAGGCAAATTATATTGCAGCCATTTTAAAGGCATGTGTAAAAGATTCACTTGAACCTCATTGAGCCTCAGCAAAGGTGTTTGGGAGTGAAATGCACACAGTGTCTCAATTTATTGTGCCAGAAGGAAGAGAAGTGACTTAAAGTATAGAAGAGTTTAATCCTTCTTTAAATATTATTCCTGGGAACATTTTATCACTAAGTATTCAGCTTCAAATTGAATTTTATATTTTCATCGCAGGACCACATTCCTTGAGCTCAGCTCTAAAATGAAATTGTTTATACAGACAAAAAAAAGTTGACTTTATTGCATGGCAGAGAAAGATTTGGGATTTGGGATTTTGTTCCTGCTTCTCCTCCCAAAAGCTAGCCTTTTAGAGCCTCTATATAAAATGATCTACAGTGTAGCACATTAAAAGCAGCACAAACGCAACACAAGCATGGAAACCATTCCCTTTTTGAGACTGAAATAAGTCCTATGCAATGTAGATCTTCTGAGTAAATTACAATCTGTATCATTCTTAAGGGAGCAAATTCCTCAATCACAAAAAAAGAGGGATACCTGCTATTCTACAGTGAGAATTGGCATCAGAGGGGCGCAAAGCAAAGAAAAAGCAAGTCAATTGCATTGCTATTGTTAAAAACGTAGAGCCTGGATTTGACAATGTCTATCAATAAAGCAGGATGGGCTTGTGGTTACAGTACAGGAACAAGAGTCAAGAATCCTGATGTGCATTCCCAGCTATGCCATAAACATCCTTGATGATGTTTAGTAGCTCATTTATTCTTTCTGTCCCTGTTTCCTCAAATGCAAAACTGGGGTAATAGTAAGAGCCTTACCACATGGTGGAGTTATAGTGGGTAAATTAGTTCATGTTTGGAAAGGGATGCAATGTTCTCTAGAAAGAAAATTGCTGCTGCTGTTAGAGGTTAGCCCCCATCTGATCACAAAAGCTGCTGCCTGTGCTGCATCAAATAGGAGTCTGTGATTGGGTGGACCAGGTCCTGAGGCCCCCTGCTGAAAGCCTTGTGGTCCTGTCACACCTTGCACCAAAGAGACAATAGAGAAGTCCTCCAAGCAGGCAAAAGCAGTCAATCAAGGACAAGGAAGACCCTATTAAAAAAAGCCACAGGACTAGAGTCAATCCGTTCCTCTGAAGACCGCAAGATGGGTAGGCTGGGTGACTGATTGGCAGAGCAGCAGCACAGTGGATAGCTCTGCATGGTGAGCTTAATGAAGATTGAACTATGATGGGATTCTGAGATAAAGCCTTAAGGTAAGACGCTGTCTCCAAGAAGGGAAGCCCTAGGGGTACCTCTCTCTGCCAGGATGGGAAACAGAGGGCACTCGGAGGGATACTACAGAGTGGCAGCAAAGAAAGCAGCCAGTCAGAAGCCAGGAAGGCCCTATGAAAAGAGCTGGGGAACAAAGCAGCAGTCAGTTCTTCTTGAGACCTCAAGGTGTGCAGACCAGGTGACTAGCTGGTGGAGAGAGTGGCAGCACCGTGGACAGCTCTGTGTGGAAAGCTTATTAGAGATAGACTATGCTGGTATTCTGAGATAAAGCCCTGGGGTAAGGGCAGAGGATGCTGCATCCAGAAGGAGAAGCCCTGGGGGCACCATTCAGAGTGAGGGAATAGACTCCGAGGGACGTGGGCCCCAGGTAAATGTGTACCCCACAAAAAGTTTTATTTACATGGGGGGAGGGAGGGTGATTCAACCAGAGGGCTGAGTTTCCCAAGAGGCTTTTAAACAGAAGAGAGTTCGGACACATGTACTCAGCGAGAAGGGGTACTCACAAAGAGGTGAGTGCCACCCCATTATAGAGTCATAGAAGAAAACACCTTCCCATGATAGTCACGGCTACGATGAAGTGTTGATGGAGGTAGCATGCACTTCAGATCGAAAAGCTGATAATACATAAATGGTAACTTGAGGGTTATTTGCTTAAAACAAGGATCCCCACCATCTCAAAGGACACAGTGGACAACTGAAATGCTTTTATCCTAAAAAAATAGACTCCTAGCACTCCTAAATTAGGTTGGACCAAACAAACTATCAAGATTCAGTCTTGTGCTGCATTCTTGACACACAAAGTTATAAAACTGAGAGTTTAACAGAACTACAGTGAAAAGCTAAATAACTTGGCAGCCATTTTAAATGTGTGTGTAAAGGAACACTCAAAAAAACCTTATCCTATCAGCTCTGATGCTGGTGAGTTAAATGTACACACTGTCATTGTTTGCTTTGCCAGAAGAAGGAAGGTGACTAAGGTATAGAGAAATATAATCCTTCTTTAAATATTATTCCTGGAAATATTTTTATCACCAAATGTTTAGCTCCAAATTGAACTTTATATTTTCCTCATCGGGCTCTGATTTTACTGGATGGCAGAGAAATATCTGAGATTTTGTTTCTGATTTCCCTCCCTAAAAGTCAGCCTTTTATAGCCTATATATAAAGTGTTATGTAGTACTTCACATTAACAGCAGCACATGTTTTGCCATATCAAATACAACCATGGAACTAATTTCCCTTTCAAAACTAAAGGGAAATGTCCTGTGTGATGTGGATTTTTGTGGGTCCAAAAATTCTTGGTTGAAACTGAACAAATTCCTCAGAAACTAGGAAAGGAAACTATGGAAAACCGCAACAGGAGGCCCATCATATCATTAATTTTTAAGTACAAGTTCCCATTGATTTAAATGATCTAGGAAGGGGCTTATGCTCCTTTAGGACAAGCCCTTCCTGCTTCTCTACAACTATTCATCTTTCATAACTAAGGGATGCTTTGTTAGTACTTATACCATTGTTTGCTGGTAAGTTTATCTGCCTATTTCAAAGCTTTGGAAGTTAGTAATAAAGGCAAAGCTGGACATAAGAGACAGTTACTCCATGCAGTTCAAAGAGGGAATACCATGGCTCAAAATGCATTTGTTTTCAGCTCCTGCAGTTGAGCCATTAGTGTATTAGAGTTCACTTACAAAACTTCAGCTTTCCAAATTGCAGCATTTTGGTTTCTCCTTTTGAAGAGTGCTCACTACCGCCACAGATTTGATGCAGGCAGGAGGACTGAAACAGCAAATTCTTTGACAGTGCCCCGAGAAAAGATCCTTACTGAGGGTGTGTCTAGACTACACCTCTCTGTCAACAGAGAGATGTAGATTAGGCATGTCAAAATTGCTAATGAAGCAGGGATTTAAATATCCCACACTTCATTAGCATAAACATGCCACCGCTTTTTTTGAAGCGGAGCTTTTTCGAAAAAAAGTCTGTCTAGACATGGATCTTTCGAAAAATAAAGTCTTTTTTGAAAGATCCCTTATCCCTCACAAAATGAGGTTAACAGGATCTTTCGAAAAAGGCTTTATTTTTTGAAAGATCCGTGTCTAGACTGCCGGGATTTTTTTTTTTTTTTGAAAAATCTCTTTTTAAAAAAAAGGCGGCGGCCATGTTTATGCTAATGAAGCACGGGATATTTAAATCTCTGCTTCATTAGCAATTTTGACATGCCTAACCTACATCTCTCTGTTGACAGAGAGGTGTAGTCTAGACACACCTTGAGTGGTGAGGAATAAGTATACCTTCCCTGTAGAGCTCTGAGCCTTTTTACAACCTCATCCCACCAGTTATCCCTTGACTAAAAGGATGCTTGAGCCAGCCCAAATACAATGTAAGCATCAAAAGGCTCATACAGAACTCACTGGGATCAACAATGAACAGAAGTCCCAGGTGTCAGCTTTCCGTTCACGTTTGTTTTTTGTATCCATAATATTAATTAATCCAGCACCCTTCCAGTATGACAAAGTGGAGACAGAACTCAGCTAAACTCTCTGTAATATCTTTTTCTTAATATTACCAACTTAGTATCAGATGGGCTGAAAAGAAAAATGTTTTGTTTGTCTACAAAAATTCTCAGAAAGACCAAACACATTTCTAATTGGAAGGGAACATTTACAAATTCATCAACATGGTTTCTTAATCAAAGGAGTCCTTCCTCCTTCATTGGGGTTAACAGCTGGACAGCAGCTGGGCTTAAGAGCCCTTTACAAGAAAACAGGTCCAGATCCTCAAAGGTATTAATTTCAGTGAGAGTTAGGGACCTAACTATTTTTGAGGATGCAGGCCTCGGGACCTATAACTACTAATCTCATTGGCTTCACTGATACAAGGTCAAAGCCTTTTGGCCCTATCCTACCCTTTGCATTTGGTAGGAGGGATTTTACTAACTAATGGGTGTATTGTTTCAGTAAGGAGTCTAGCACTGGGCTTCTAACTACTTATTAAGAATGGGAGAACTGGAACCAATAAAATAAGAATCAGCTCAAACCTTAGCCAAAATCCGAGCCTTTTGTGTGTTTGGAAAAAAATGCACTTTAGCTGTATTGTATGAAATGATTTGTTTCATTTCTATGCATCTCTCTACTTCCTGCTTGCCAGTAGGACTGAGAGCATGAATGCCAGAAGATTACAAGAAAGCCTGCTCTCAAGAAATGTTCAGACACAATTGTCAGTCTCAGAGGGCACGTCTAAACTACATGGCTCCATCGATGGAGCCATGTAGATTAGGCTGATCGGCAAAGGGAAATGAAGCCGCGATTTAAATAATCACGGCATCATTTAAATTGAAATGGCTGCCGTGCTGAGCCGACAAACAGCTGATCAGCTGTTTGTCGGCTCAGGGCGCTAGTCTGGACACTCCCGCGCTGATCTGAAAGCCCTTTATCGACCTCCCCGTTATGCCTTGTAGGATGAGGTTTACCGGGGAGGTCGATAAAGGGCTTTCAGATCAGCGCGGGAGTGTCCAGACTAGCGCCCTGAGCCGACAAACAGCTGATCAGCTGTTTGTCGGCTCAGCACGGCAGCCATTTCAATTTAAATGATGCCGTGATTATTTAAATCGCGGCTTCATTTCCCTTTGCCGATCAGCCTAATCTACATGGCTCCATCGATGGAGCCATGTAGTTTAGACACACCCAGAGTGTTTGGAGAATCCACATTTTGGGCTACTTCTTTGAACCAAATCACAACTTTTCTAATCACTGGAGATGCTTCCATTTTTAATAATTTACATTCAGCTTGGTGTAGGAGTCAAGCCACTGGATTGGGAGATAAGAGCGGCAGCAAGCCCTGCTTTAATTGTGTGAAAGTGCAGAGAACATCCTGTCAGTGTTATCATGTGGTTCCTGTGTTTCTCCAAGGTCCAAACTATAGCATTTAATCACTGGCCATCTCTCCCAGGGGAAGCTTGAGAAGAGACTTTTATCTCAGAGAGGCACATCTCATGTGATTTGCCCAATTATACAATTATAATAGTATGAAGGAATCACATGGACATATGGGGGTCCAAATAACCATATTTTAATAAGTATGCACAACATGCCAGCCCTGGCTACATATATAGATTGTGTTTTACCTGGTTCCTGAAACATCCAATGCAGTGAGCACCAATCAAGTGTGCACTAACAATTACAGAGTACTACTGAATACTCACATACTACAACATCACTCTATAAGCAGTCCTAGGGAATGAACGGGGAAATGGGTTAGACCTGCTGACTCCTTGGTATGCCTGGTCTACTCTGCAGGACAGCACAACAAGGTGATACCTCTACTTTGTCACTTCGCTCTCTCGAATGCACAAAGGGGACAGTCCCTATGTTCCTACAGACACGTCTGTAGAGCTACTTGAAGGCCACCCATATCTGGTCCCAAGAGAATGAAATAGCATGGAGCCTGCAGGAGATCTTATGGGAGAAGGCAATTGTGTGTGGGATCCTTAGCATAGATGATGTTGTTATAACTATGTGGTATTGTGCAATGTGCATCCACATTAATGCAACAGGGAAATCTTCAGGGATGTCACTCAAATATCACACTATTGGATAATATCATAACTGGGTTCCTTTAATATAGTTGGGTGGATATATTTTATAGCAGAATTACAGGTGCAATCTCATTCTTTCTTTAAATTTGTGTGTGATTTCATTGAGGGGCTAAGGAGCTAATCAATTCCCCCTGAAGTCAGCGGAAGTCCATTAAATTAATTGAGAAATCAGTCGCAGCCTAGTAGCAGTAAGTTACAGTAAGCAGATTTAGGCAAGCACTGTGATCACTTCTCCCTACATCTCTGCCAAATATAACTCAGTTCTAATCTGAGCTCATGTCCTCAGCCTCTCTTGATCAGAAATGGCCCATTGTGCCCAGTTCTATGGTGGCTAATGTGATTAGGATGAGATGACTTGACACTCATTTTCACTTTCATCATTTTCTGGCTTCTTCCAGTCTGACCAATATTTGTCCTTTTCTCTTATTTCAGTTCCCTCCTCCTTATCCATACTGACATCTGTGATGGGGTAAGAGGTCCATGACCAATGCAGGGTAAGTTCACCTCATCCTTTGAGCTGGGCTCTCTAAGTCATGAAACCTAAGGGCTGAAATCCATTGAGTTGACCTGATTCACAAGGCTCTCTGGCCCAATGGCCAGAGCCCATATAATGGCCCTGGGCCACAAGGCAGTAGGGTTCCCTGACCCGCATCAGGGAGAGAGGCCCTTCTTTGCAGGGCAGTGAGGCCTAGCAGCCAGAGTTCATAATGATCAGCAGGGAGTCATCTGCAACATGCTGACCACCATCGGGAGAACAACTGGTCTCCCTGGGCTACTACCTACCATGTTACTCCTGGTGGCAATCTCCACATCTCTGGGATCTCCAGGTACCTCATCCAGTACAACTCCCTGTAGCTCAGACCTTTCAGGCTATGGCTACACTGCTGCTCTTTTGTGGAAGAGTATATGCAAATTGCACTCGCATTTGCATATCTTCTTCCGAAACTTTTCGCGGAAGAGTTTTTGCCGATAAAAAGCCCCATGAAGACGTGGCCATTTGTCGGAAAAAAAACCCTCTTTTGCAAGATCCTGTAAACCTTGATCTATAAGGGGCTTTTTATCGGCAAAACCTCTTCTTCAAAAAGAATTGGAAGAAGATATGCAAATGCGAGCATGATTTGCATATCCTCTTCCACAAAAAAGCAGCAGTGTAGCTGTAGCCTCGGGCACCCACAAGTAGCTGGGCACCTGCTTGGATCTCAGCGTCCTGTCTCAGCAGGAGCCGATAAGGTGCATCCTTTCTCTCTGGCAGTCAGCCCAGACTGAGCTGGGCTCCTCCCTCTTATCCCAAAATACATCCAAAGTGGGCACCTTTAAAAGTAATTAAGCACAATAACAAAAATATGCATGTAGAACTAGTGTAGGGTACCAGTAAAGTGCTGAGTATTGGGTTTCCTTGAAAACAGACCTGAGTGTTAATGACAATCCAATAAACGGAAGAATATCTTCACACTTTTATGACTTGATTTTAAACATTAGAAATACATCATACTTGGTTGTACCCCCAGAACTATGCACTCTGTTCCTTTCCCTTTCTTGCCTTTGACTGGATAAGATGACATTTTTTTGTAAAAGGAAACTAATTAGTCCTAGAGCTAGTCAGAAAGTTGTGAGGGAGGGGGAGAGTTCAATGAAAAATTCTGACTTCTGAAAACAGAAGAAAACTGAAAAAAATCTATTTGAAAATACCACAGGAGTTGTAGTTTGGGTACTTTGTCCCTGTTCACTCTATAGGCCAACCCTTTGAGAGACTTTATATCTCATTATGCATCATGGGAGTCCCTGGATATAATGCTTAATGGGAGATGTAGTCTCACTTCAGAGCCTAGCCAATAACGGATGAGGGCCTGAAGTTTCCAGACTACAATTCCCATTAGCCACTGCTGCAGCATTTTCAAACTGAATTTTTATTCAAAAATTCAATTTTTCCATTAAAAAGTTTTGGTAGAAAACTTTTGATTAATCTTAAATATAGTTCACTCTGACATAAAAAAGAATCTGTTTCAAGATAATAGACACAGTTTATGGTGATATTAACAACACAATCTAGGAGAAATATTACATGTAAATATTTGCATGGATTTTGAAGCCAAAAACCTGTCTAAGCTAGGCAAACAGAACAATCTTTCCTATTTTCACATTCACTCATGTTCAAGATGTAAGAAAACACAGTAACATATAGTGTCAGGCAAATCTGTCTCATGGCTAAAATATAGGAACAGTTTATGTGGATTTTGTGTAGACATAAAATAGTGCCTTTAAAGCATTTGAGTGCCTTCTAGAAGATCAGAGGGAGCCAGATGCTGCTACAGTCAAAGGGTGCACAAATGTATTGCTTCTATCTAGTCAGTGAGGGAACACAAGGACAAGCACCTGCCCTCTCCACATCTACTTTAAAAAAGCTAGTTCTGCAGTGAATAGCACTATCATGTATGTCCTGAGCACAAGAACTGTGATTTATTTTTCCTAGCACTTGCATTGGCCAGAAGGTTTGGGGGCAGTGTTTTCTCTAAGCTATGTGCTTGTGCTGCTGTTCAGGAGAGCTTTAAATGCCATCCAGCTGATTAGCAGATCACCCACAGCTAGGATTTTTTGTTTCAACTGGTGGTGCACATTCACACATGCCTCAGAGTCCATAACATTTATTCCACACATGAATCAGAAAAAATTAGAAGGAACATTGTTTGGAAGTGAATCTTAGTGCCTTTTCCTTATGCCACTGACATCTAACCAGGTCTGATAAAGTCTTGCTCAAAATGTACTTAAATATGACTAACACTTAATATGATTGCAAGCAGGTGCCTTCCCCAACTGACTCTGAAGCAGCCCACACACTCATAATATCAAAACATCATAGCCTCACTCTATTCTGGGGTTTAGCTTTTATTCACAGAGAAATACATAATATAAAGTTCAGCTAAATATTTTTCTTCATTCAGAAGTCTAAAATGGTAAAAATATTGTGCGTCACTGTAAACCAGAGTTATCTTGTATAAATTCCTTACAGCCATGTTTCTCAACCTTTTTTTAATGAAGTACCCCTTTAAAAAAAATATAGATACTGCCTTTTAAAAAAATTATAAGTACCCTGAGTTCCTATAGTTTGCAGACACACAAAATATTTTTCTACCATTGCAACACATTTGTTTAAACAATTTACTCGTAGCTGGGCAGGCAATGAAATTTTTGGATGTAAAAAGTACAAAAATAATAAAGCGCTGTAAAACGTAAAAGTTTTCTCCAAATTTCAGTTGTATTGACATACCCCCAGATATCTTTCAGGTACCCCTGAGGGTACTCGTACGACTGGTTGAGAGAAACTGCCTTACAGTATATTCAGTAGGGTCCAATCATTCAGGTCTCCCCCAAAATATTCAGTGACTGGCAGTATCCTATATATCAAAGAGTCTCCAAAGCAGCTACTGTCATGCTTCCCCCTCTTTTCGGCCCTCCATGTTTTCAGACACGTTTGTTTGAAATGATGGGTGTGGCAATTACCAATTTGTTTTGTTGCCGATGGGAATCAAAGGTTCCAGGTAAATGCTGGATTTATGCATGCTGAGGAAATATCTCCTAGTATGGGAAAGGCAATGTTCTCAGCATTTTGCAAGGAAACTCAAACATGTGCTGGGCTTTCAAGTTAACGAACAGCATTGTTATGCTCTTGTTAGAAAGTTTGCCTTGGTAAATACAAGATGAGGGTTTGGTTGTCATTGCCTAGGATGAAAAGAGTATAAGGTAAGCAAAAAAAAAAAAAAGCCAAACATTTCCTGCTGCTCAAGTCCTAGATCTTGTGTTGATGACAAGGAATACTTCTGCCCAGTAGAATGATGCAGTAGGAGTAAAGCTAAGGGGCATTCAGGGACTCTTAAAAGGTTACATTAAATGAAGAATCGTCCCAGACAACTTCAAACTAGAAATCAGGTGCACATTTATTAATTAATAAGAGCCTATCACCATTGGAACAACCTAGCAAGCGGAGTGGTGGATTCTCCATCACTTGGACTCTTTATATCTTTTTAATCTTTGTCTTTCTAAAAGATATATGTGCTCTTGGTCAACCACAGGCTATTGGGCACAATGCAAAATTATTAGGGGGAAATTCTATACCCTGTACTAAACAGGAGGTCAGACTAGATTATTATAGTGGCCTCTTTTGGTCTTAAACTCTACGAATGAATCACAGGGCAGAAAGCACAAATATTTTATTGTCCTATTATTTTTATGTTGTTACATCTTTCCTGTTGCTAGTAGAGAGGTGATTCATGTGAATACAGCATTTTCTAACGTGCCAATTCCTCTTTTTTAGGGTCCTCCATCTCACTCAAAGATATTATGCTGACTTCTTTAATAATCTACATCTCCCTCCCAGCTACGCTCTCTGTCTCATCTGATGGCCTGCCCTTTTACTTTGGTCAGCTATTCTA